TCTTCCCCCCTTTTTTTTCGTCTGCAGATCTGATGACACATTGGTGTGGCCTTGGAAGTTGAATGATGGAATAGCGAGAAACGGCTCGTCTGGTAGTCGGGAAACCCCTTCCCGTGAAGATTTCTAGCGTTGGGTTGCTGGGTTTGGCTTCCAGCGGATCAACATCTACGCCAATTTTTCAAAAAAACGCACCAGCTATTAAAGTGGCTGCGCAGTGTTTTTCAGGAGGGACGGAGAAAAGAAATTTCATGAGAACCTTCGAAGCACAAGAAAAAAAAGATGTCAACTTTGCCGTGCATCTTGGAGGGCAGCCGCATCGTAGATGTAGCAACGTAAAATAACCCGCACCGAAGAGAGGCTTCAACATCTATAATCTTGCGAAATTACGCTTTCATTGATGGCCCTGGGAGGGAAAGACCTGTGTCCTACTGGTTGGAAAGCAGCAATAGGAGGGAAGCCTGGCCTCCGAAACATAGCCTTTGTTAACTTTTATCAACTTACTTTTTTTCCTTACAGATAATTTTCCAAGTTTCCATGAGATCAAATGTTCGCCGTTCGCTGTATCAAGTAATCTAACAAAAAATGTATGATGGATCCCAAATCCGGAACTGAAAAAGTATCTATTTGTATATGTTAAAGAAGGGTATGTCATCCTTTTCTGTTTGTTTCCTCAGATATTAAATGACCGGTCACCACCAATTTAAAATGTCACTGTACTTTACTAGTATCTCCATAAAGTAAACGTAGTTGATTTTATTTAACCTGTTGTAATTATTGTATTTAACTCTTTACACCTGGACCTTACACATAGAATGGGTTTTGTCATAACACAGCGCAATTTTGAAATTTAGAATTGTTTGCATATTTTGTTTTATGTTACACTATGATAACTACTCTTATACAGTTTTGTGATTGATACAATATTGATTGAAATGTTCTGTTATGTTACATATAACACACAGTTACCTACCTCATAATCTAGTATGAACTTTAGCAATAGTTAATTCACAGAAATGATGTTCAGTAGTAAATATTAAGTATGAATTTTTTCTAGAATGTTTTTATGTAACACAACCAACGAAATTCGTGAATTCATTAGTGGTAGTAAGGAAAAAGGATGGTAATTTAAGAGTGTGTTTAGGTCCTAGCACCTTAACCAAAATATACTGGAGAACATTATCCCTACCAACCTTGAAGAAATTCATCTCAAATGACAAATGCAAAGGTATTAGTATTTTAGATGCAAACAAAGCATTTTGGCAAATTAAACTGTCAGATTCAAGTTCGTGAATTTACTACATTTAACCACTCCGTTTGGTACATATTGTTTTTTGAGGTTGTCATATGGACTGAGTTCATCACCAGACGTTTTCCACAGAAGTTTTTCTGAAACTTTTAGTGATTTAGAAGGAAGGAGTTCAATATATAAGATGGCTTATTAGTTTGGGGTAAAGATAAAAAAGAGCATGATTTAAGATTAAAGAAGTTGTTGGACAGAGCCAGAGAAAAAGATGTTAAATTTAATTTAAATAAATGAAATTTGGGCTGAATGAAGTGAAATACGAGTATATGGGACATATATTTTCTAAGATGGTTTAAAACCAGATGAAGACAAAATTAAGGCTATTCTAGATATAAAACCACCAAAAAATGTGAAAGAATTAGAAACTTTCCTAGGAATGATTACATGTTTCTAGATTTATACCTAATGTATCAGAATGACATCATATTAAGAGATTGTTGAAAAATAAGTTATCTGGAACTGGAATGCAACAATGAAAAAGCATTTAGAAGACTAAACGATGTCTTATTAAATAAACCAGTTTTAGTATTATGTATAAATGTCAGGTTTTATCTGTAGATTCATTCAGAAGGACTAGGAGCAGTCTTACTGCAGAATAATTTACCAGTAGCATATGCATCTAAGGCATTAACAGATACACAGAAGAATTATGCTCAAATTGAAAAGGAAACTTTAGTGTTGTATTTGCATGTGAGAAAATTTCACTAGTATATATTTGGAAATATATTACTGTGGAAAGTGACTATAAACACTGGAATCAATTTTCAAAAGCATTAAAAATGCCCTTTAAGATTACAAAGATACGCATAAGATTACAGCCCATATCAGTTTGAGATAAAATATAAACAGGAAAAGAACTCTTTTGGGGATGCATTATCAAGATCATTCACTGATAAAGGATCTGATTTCTTTGAAGGAGACATAGAAGCTCATGTTGGATTGGTTGTAGAATTTATACCAATGTCTAATGGTAAAATGGAAGTTTTTTAACTGGAAACAGAATAAGACGAAGAAATACAAGTTTTAAAAAAATAATTAAAACTGGATGGCCAGATGAAAAATGTATGGTTACAGTACTGGCAAAACCATATTTTAACTTTAGAGAAGAACTATCAGAAGCAAATGTATTAATATTAAAAATTCCTGTTTTTTGTACCAAGAAGTTTACGAAAAGATATGGTAAGCAGAATTCATTATGTCATTTAGGAGAGTAGTAAAATGTAAGATCAAAGCAAAGAGAAGAGAAATATTATATGGCCAGGAATGTCGAAAGAAATGAAGATTTGGTCCTGAATTATCAAACACGTTTAAGTTACAAAAAGCTATAATAAAGAACCAATGATTTGAAAGAATACCTGATGGTACTGGGAGAGTATTGGGAACAGATCTCTTTACTTTCAAGGAAAGGATTATCTAATGGTAATTGCAGGAAATATAAAGATTTTGCAGAAGATGGAATTTTAAAACCAGAACTTCAAGCCCAAATTACCACAATCTAATGGAATGATTGAAAGACATTTCAAACTGTAAAGAGAAGTTAGAAAAAGCTGTAGTGACAATAAGGATCCATATATGGTATTATGGAATATCGTAACTCTCCTTTCAGATGAAATTAAGCACCTTCAGAATGAGTTTGGAAGATAAGTAAATGGATGATGCCTATAAAAGAGAATTTCGTCCAAGCTAAACAATATGAAGACAAAACAACATTTTACTGAAGAGACAAACTTTACAAAAAAGTTATTATGATAGAAATGCAAGACCGTAAACCACTAAGGTAGGGATCATGTTTACATAAATGAGAAAGGGAAAAAACTAAATGAAAGAGGGAAAATTATGGAAGAAGCAGAAAGACCACGTTCATATAGGATTATAAGAACAGATGGAAGAATTGTAGAAAGGAACAGAAGAGACCTTTTTAAAGGAACTAATCAGAAAGAGTTTGGAATACAAAACAACTATGAGAATGAAGTTATAGATGAACCCGAAGTACCTGAGAATAGCAGGAGCACTACAAATTTAGATGTGCATATATGTCCTTCAAAACCTAACAGAAGTGTGTCACCAAATAGTGGTGTTGGTGTATTTAATTATGGCAAAGTACACGAGGGCTATCTGCCTAAAGGCAGGGATGCCTTTCGTGGATGACTTTCTAAGGGAAACTGGCTCGTATACACGTTACACATGGGGAAAACCACGAAAACGCCCATGCAGCCAGCCCGTTCGCGGGATTCGAACCTCAGACCGAACTACCAGTGTTCAGCGTCTTTACCGCTCGGCCGCTGGTGGGCTACCAAATAGTGAAAGAGGTATAGTATCATCAATTTTTCAAATGGACATAACTACGTTACTCGATCTGGTAGGACTGTTAAGAAACCTTATTATTTAAAGGAATATGTTTAGTTTTACAACTATTATTATTTTTTATAAAAAAAGGGAGATGTTATATATGTAACTATGTTTGTGTACATCTTGGTAATCATCACTCAGCACATACCCACATATAAAAAACAACTCAGCATCTAAACACCATATTTCAAAAGTGATAATAGGGACTATTTTATAACAAAAACAAATTGATAGAAATGATTACTTAATATAAAAATCAAGCAGCATTCAAAAGTTGTTTATTTCCGCTGCCAAGTTTCAAATATATATACTTAAATAAAAATAAATAGCCATATTTTTTATTTTTAAGCTCCTATACTCCAGGACACGTCACGAAATTTTCGATGGTCAAGACAATTTTCGATGGTCAACAGTAATACGTACGCCTGCAATTAATTATGAAATTACACGGATAACCAGTATATCTTCACAGAAGAAGCAAGTTCCCCAAAACGTCCGATTTTAAAGGCTGAAACTGTAGCTCAAAATCTTGCTGGTTTGAGTCCATTCCTAAAAGGGCTTTTGAACATTTAGCACAGTGGATGCATTCGAGCCTATTGGTTGTCTGCCGCGCTGCTCGCCAGGAGGGAACTTAACTGAGAAAGCTATTTGCTATATCATACATCCTAAGTCGTTCGAATACAGATATCTGCTAGTTCAACAAACGGTTGCAAGAGGGGCTCCATCCCCCTTAAATTCCTAAATCCGTATATATGACGTAATATTGCACAATTTTTCAAGCTTCTGGATCTAATAAGCTTCGAAATGGTATTTCTTGAATAACATCAGCCTTTGTGCTGATAATGTACTCGTGGGAGATATTGGTATTTTCCTCCTGACTTTTTATTTTTCTTTGATTAGCTCCCATCTATAGGAAATTGTGATAAATTTATTTTAAACGCACCAGATTTCATTAAAATTTATGAAAGTGTCGAATGTACAATTGCTAAAAAATACAAACTTTGTCACCACATAACTAAGAAGCTATTAATGTTAAAAAAATAGGATACTGCAGTACTAGGTTTTAAGAGAGTAAAAAGTTCCGGATTGCCAAAAGAGAACGCATTTTTTTTTTTCAGTCTAATTTTTATCTGTTTTCTTCTCTGTTTAAATTATTTATTTTCTAATAAAAAAGAAAAACATGAAAAAAGAGAAGGAAAACGATAATCCTAAAAAAAAAAAGGAAACAACCGCACATAAAGAGTTATTTTAAATTTTCTGAACTTCACTTTTAAATTCGGGTCAGAAATATGCAACTCAACTCTTCGCAGAGGTTTCGTTCCCCTGCCTCGTCAGGAAAGCGCGCATTGTATGTTTCTCTGCTACGCAGGAAGCAGCGGTTTGTTTTGATGGAAACGCTATGTGAAATTTTCATGTTTCGCATGCTCGTTTTGTATCATCAAAATCCAGCTTGGCAGTAATTGACGTATTATTGAAGGCAAATTGTAAATAACGGTCTTACTCTGTCATTTGCATGATTTGATTTTTTTAATGACTTTTCATTTTTAAATTGTTTTAAATCTGTCGGAACTGAAGTATTGTAATTGAGTTTTGTGGCATATAACTCATTTCAGGAATTGATTTCAAAATGCATTAATTTTACGTCGCATTCATTAAAAACGCTTAAACTCAGCTTATTATTTAATTTTTTTCGTTTATTATTGTGGCAAGCAACAATTTTATATATTGCTGAGAAGATAACTATGCTTGAACTGGATGAAAGGCCAGCTTAAAATTCGATTTGTGTGTGTCAAGTATGACATCCATTTTTTCCTTCTCGATACCAGTTGTGAAACGCCTTCTTGGTTGGAAGAAAGGAGAAGGTGAAGAAAAGTGGAGTGAAAAAGCTGTCAAAAGTTTAGTTAAAAAACTTAAGAAGACTGGTGGTTTAGATGAACTAGAAAAGTCCATTTCAAATCAAGATCCTAATACTAGGTGCATCACTATTCCAAGGTAAGTTTGACATTTATTATCTTTTACTTAAAAAGGAAGTTGTCATGTGCTAACCTAGTGATTATCAATAGTAAGTAGATGATAAGGTTATAACTGTTTTTGCCTTGAATTTAAAACTAGTAGAGTAAAGATGCATAGTGTAAAATCCTCAACCTTATTAATTTAATCATAAGTTTAATACCATATTTAGATCTTACTTTTAAGATTGTGCTATTAATTTCTATCATAAAATAATTATGTGTTTCATAGTAAAATAACGAAAGCAATGCTGTTAAGATGTAGGAAGAAAAAATTAGTTTCTTTACTAGGTATAGGTATAATTATATGTATTAATTTAAGTGCTAACAGTACACTTATAAATTTATAGACTCTGTATTTATGAAATTTGTCAAATATTTTATGCCACATTTGCTGTTCCTGAATATGTTAGCAGGAGGATATTTTAATTCAAAGCTAATTTTTTTTAAATTCTTTTCTGGCATATAGCTTTTATAACTTTTATTTTATGCATACATTCAGGCCATTTCTTCAGAGTCTACAAAAACAAAATTCTGAAGTTAATAAAATTATGATGTTAAAATTTTATGATAAGGGCTTATAAATAATAGATGAATGCTGTACTTCTTTGATTGACTTTGAAACTGTCATTCTTTCACAGTGATTTTTCTCCACATTTTTTAGTAATTTCGAAGGTATATCATGCGTTTCACTTAGTAATTGCATCTGGTAAATTGCTTAATAATTTGCTGCTGCTGATGTGAAGTAGTCCTCCTTCCTTATATTATGTAGTCAGTTTTTCTGAAATTTACAAGTAATACTGAATACTAATCTGCAATTTACAGTGTTTTGTATAGTTTTCATTAACTGTGTAGAGCCATAAATTATTTAGAAGCAGGAGACATGAAAAATACAAAATGCCCTCACCAGGACTTCAAACCTGTACATTTCGAATATGTATCGAGTATGCTTCCAGTTACACCACAAAGGCATGTGGAAAGAAGGAAGAAAATACTTAATATAATTGTAGTATAAAACTTATCATAAAAGCAGTTTAATTTTGGCAAAATGTATTTTATTAATTCTGGATCATTTTCAGAAATAATCAAATGGATGTCAGAAACATAAATAAGTTATTTTACAAAATTTTTAGAATTAAATGACATAGCATAAAATTATAAGTTTGTTCCTGTAATATCCCAACTTCAAGGACATTCAAAATTTTTATTTATATAGCTTATTGATTTTAATGAAAATAAACTTATTTGTAGTAGAAACTGATGCTGAGTTGATCACTCGCACTAATTGCGAGTTTGTTCTTATTTTTTTTAAGTATAAATTTTATAAAAGCATACTGTTAGCTTTATGTGAATGGTTTAAATGAAAAGTATTCTATAGATGAATATTCACAGTTAATACTCTTTGTTGACTAGTTTGAGGAAAATTATGAATTTCAATAAAAATTAGAGAATATTTAAGGTAACTGATGCAATTTATCACTGATAAAACATATGAAGCTTTGTGTAAAAGTTTCAAAAAGTAATGTTTGGAAGCAAACACTGATTAATCTTTGGTTTAGGTAACAGTGAAACTCAAAATTACGATATTTGTTTTAATATGATAAATGAATGATTCCTCATGTGAATTTGATTAATTTTTGTCACCTTTCCAATTAAGCAAGAGTATCCATAGGCCTGCGATATATGTCACATAGTAAATCCTTTGGTAAAATAGACTAATAATTTAAATATAATAATTTAAAAATTATTGACATGCATGTAAAATATTACTATTTTTAAATCAAAGTAGTTTAAAATAATGATGATATTTTATGCTCGTTTGGGACTTTTAAAAAAAAACTGATCTTTATATGCGTTTTATTTCAAAATTTGAGGGAAGCGAGGATTCAGTACTTTAAGTACTCTGCCATATGGCTATAGGCATCTATAATAGCTCAAGATACAGACCTAAGTTTTCTTTCTTAACTAATGGTAAGCTGACATGATCATGACCCAATTTTAGCTAATGATACGTTTATTTGCCCTTGATCCATCAAAGGATAGCTTTGTTAACAGGCTTATAATAAAGCTATCTTCTCAGTTATTGGTATGTGAATTATTTATAGCTTTCTATATACAAGGTATAATTTAATCGAATATCAATAATTTCAGTAATGTGTCATTAAGGATTAAAGAGTAAAAGAATCATTAAGGATTAAAAGCATTGCTTTAGTGTGTAAGTATTTAGCAGCATTACCTTTAATGAATTTACATTATTTACGCATGTAAGTGGTATATAATGATTAAGGAATAAGATTAGTAATAGTACTGTGTGAGTATAAAATAATGATTTCATAAGAAAAGGGAAAATCTTTTTAAACATTGAATAGTCATTCACGTCATGATTACTGAATAAGGTAAGAAAGAATATGTGAAAAAAGTATTCCCTTTAAAAATAGTGTTAACTATTTCATGTTAATACATTTCTACTATTTTCTTTGGTAATCAGTAGGCTTCATAGTATAAAGTTTTTAATAACTGCATATAATGATTATTTATAGTTATAATTTGTTTAATATGTACTCATTTAAAAAATGCTGTGTAAAAAAATAAATAACATGAAAATATGTTTTAAATATTTTATGTATATTTATAATCCAAAATGAATAGCCATTTGGAGGGGATATGGTGATGTGTTAGTGGATTAAAACAACAGGATTTTGTCTAATTAGCTTATGATTTAAACTAAAATTATGATTTATGTCTAAAATTAACATTTGATTTAATTTTGAGAGAAGTTATGTAATTTGATAAACTAATATTATTGAAGGACTAAATTCAGAACTATCAAACTGGCATTTAGTAACAATTTTTGAAAATATATAGTGTATTTTGTAGTCATATTTTTAAATTGATTTATATTTTAGAATATTATGCATACTACAGAAGTGCAACATTAAAAAATAAAAATATTATGTTCTTAAATCTGTATATTTTTGCAGTTTAAGAGGCTGATGTTCTTTACAGAAAAAAACCTTTTCTAGAAATTCTCTCTCTCTCTCAGTTCTGTATACAGTACAAAGTCTTTAATCCGGACCTCAAAGCTACAAACTTTCTGTGCATGTGTCAACGCATAATGCGCATAATACCTTTACGCATGCGCATAATACGTTTACGCATGCACATTTAATGTATAATGGACAGTATAAGCTAGGCTAAAATGATCTAATTATCTATTTCAGTTAATGTTGCAGATTGTGTTGTTCCTTAATCTTCTAATTGGATCCGGCTTATCATTTTTTGCAGACTGTTAGAGCAATTTTATAAAAAGTAAGCTTGAACTTTCGATTATGCCAAAAAGAGTTTCCGATTCTGGAGCTGCCAAAGGATCTACAAAGTGAAAGCGGGTTTCGATGTACCGTTTCTGAGAGTGAAGAAAGTGACAGAGTAGTTATTGAAAATGAAAAAATTTCGATTCACAAGTTAGTCGGTATTCTCGACACAGCAATTACAGGACTCGAACAGTGGAACTGAACAAGAAATTATGTCTGTTTATGGAATTAAAGAGAAAGTATTAGAACAGAAAACAAGGCAACTTAAAAAACTTACGTTGAAAGAAATGTTTAATAAAGTAAACAAATAAATATTAAGCTTTCTTTTTGTAAATTTCGATACCCTTTAGTTCATAATTGCTCTTTATTTCATTAATTACGGTTTCATATTTTTAATTTTATAATTTCTGCATGCCATCTTACCAGATTTAAATTGATGATCTATAATCCGGAATCGCCGAAGTCCCGATGAGTCCGGATTAAAGACTTTGTACTGTATTGCATTATCTGATTTACTTCTCCTCATGTGAGCAGCAAAGTTCAATAATGTGGCATTTTTGTCAGTGTTTTTTAAAATGTGGGCAAAACATAGCTTTAAAATTTCAAGTGAAAAATCTCAGCATTTTTTAAGTGAAATGGTATAATATCCTTGAGAAAACAAATTATTCTGTTCTTGAAAACTCTATGATGCTTGAAAACTCTTTTAAATTAACACTTATATAGATGGTTGAGAAGGTAAATAAATATGAACTGAAAATACTTTTCTTAATATTTAGTTTCTTTTGCCAGATAAACTTAACCATGTTACTGTCATTACCGTGCATTGCAAATCGCATCTATTTTCTTAAACCATATCAAATGTTGTTAATATCCAGTATATTGGATTCATTAAAATTTAGATTATTCAGAATCTAAAAGTATATATTAGTATATTCTGTGTACGTCTCTTTTCTTTCTCCCCCTTTTTTTAATGCATGTCGTACATATAGGACTCATTTGCTTAGCACATGCAATGAATATGCCATTCAGATTCAAACTTGGTGAAATTGTTTTGTTAAGAAAAGAGGCGTAAAGTCATTTGGTGGTTGATCTTTACATTATGGTAACTTGGCGTTTTTTTTGGCGAAAATTTGGCGACCAACTCTCTTACAGCAACCCTCTATTTTTTTTTCCCGCTGCCATTTTGTTTTCACGAAGTAAAGACATGTTTCTTTTCTTTTTATCTACTGAACACTTCTTCCAACAATCTACTAGCCGAATTACACTTATGCTAGAAATTTTATCTAACAAAACTGCTTAATCATGACAAATATTCACTGCAAAATTGGGAAAAAGTGCACAATACCATACTCCTTACGCGTTTTTCAAAACAACACATACACATAAACCATGTACACGCTGACTTATTTTTACTTAAAAACAACATCCCAGAATTGCACAAAAATGGCATTGCGCACACTCTTCACTATATCCATGTACACTTTTTTCTCATAAATTAGAAAAATTTCACGAAAATACATGACAATTTTCTCAATCTTTAAACCCGGTAAAAAGAACATATACAAATTACCTGATCGCGAAAAAGTAATGAACATTTCCACATATAAAATAAATAAAATATCCAAAAACTTTTACCTCTAAATCATCTATTACATTATACACGTCACCAACG